CCTTGCTCCTGGGCTCCGGGTCATTGCAAGCCTGGCCTTCCGCTTCCCAAACCTAGTCGTCTGGTCTGCTGAGTTCTTGCCCACCACACACCAACGGGGCAGCAGACCTTTAGGACACCGAAGCCCCAAACCCCCAGATTCCTTTCAGAGGCGAACGAACACATTGGTTTTGCAGGGTCCCCGTGCTCCTTTCGCTGGAACCTCTGTGCGCCGTCCCGGGGGGGCGTGCAGGCGCGAGGGGCACCGGTATCTCTTAAAGCAGCAATGCCACCACACTCTTAACGGCGGCGCGGAGGATGGCGGGGCCCAGGACGGTTACCCCGTGAAGGCTCGGGTCGCTCCCGAGGACCCCAGACTGCGGCTGGTCTGGTCGGTTGGTGGCCAGGTGAGGAGCAGGGCGCGGGCGGCGGGACCCTTGCCTCCCCGGTAGGTGGAGCGTGCGAGGCGGACGCAGCGAGCAGCGGGCGCCGGGCACGTTTTCCTCCGTCAACGGACCCTTCGGAACGGAAAGCCAGCCGGCGACGGCGCGGGGCTAACGGCTGGAGGCTGCGGCGGTGGCGGTGGCGGTGGCGGTGGCGGTGTCAGCGGCGCTGTCACTCCGGCGCGGCGCCCGGGGCAGAGCGGGGCCGCGACGCAGGCGATTGGGCGGAGCTCGGCGCCGGGCCGCTGCGGGGATGGTGGGTGAGAGGCGGGAGGAGGTCGCAGTGGGTGGAGGGTGGAGGCTGCTCTGGGGGTCGCCCCCATCGGCGTTCATTGAGCACCCTACTGCATCCCAGGGCCCTCAGCTAAGCACACGGCCAAACGCCCCGCCCTCCTGCACTCAGCATCCTAGGCAAGACAGATGGGAGCATAGATCATAGCGGGAATCTTTGTAAGTGGGGAGGGAAATTACAGCCTTGGCCATGCCAGGAAGGAGCTACACCGCTGAGCTACATCCCCAGCCTTGTTACTTTTTGAGACAGAGTTTCTCTGTGGCCTTGAACTCCCTTCTAGCCCAGGCTGGATTGGAACTTTAGATCCTCCTGCATCAGGCTCCCAGAGTACCTAAAATTACAGACCCTTGCCATCAGACCTGTAAATCTTCTCAAGGGAAATGTAATCGAGTGAAGGAATCAGGACAAGACTGTATGTTAAGTGCGGGGTAGAGAGAGTGGTTTGTCTGAGATGACCTTTTAGAGAGTAATACCACAAAGACCTCAGAGCGAGGAGCCTCAAGTGGATCCAAGCCGAACTGGACTTCAGAGAGGGAACTGTGTTAGCCGTGAAAGATGCCTGCAAGGGTCTGAAGCCAGAGGCAAACTGTCTTTTCCCCAGCAAACTATGGGTTATTCAGTCATCAAGTGACCTATTCCCTAAGTGTCTGAGAAAGTCCGAAAAGCCAACTGCCCTGGGAGAAATGGTGTTAACTTCTCCCAGTTGAATACATAGAGAGAAGAGTTATTCTGAGTTAATCACTTTAACATGCAGTGCTGGGGAGTGAACACATCCTAGGCTAATATCCCCCTGCTCAGCTCTACATACACCCCCCACCCACCACCCAGATGTTTTGCATTTAGTTTTGAGACAGGATCTTACTTCATTGCTCAGGCTGCCCTTGACCCCTATGATCCTGCTGCCTTACCTTGAAATGGTTATTTTTCACATTTCAGGGTTCATTTATTCAGTGTGTGTGTGTGTGTGTGTGTGTGTGTGTGTGTGTGTGTGTGTGTGTGTGTGTTTTCATGCATGTGCACATCACCTCATGGATGTGTCAGTCAAAGGACAACTTGTCAGATTGGTTCCTTCCTTCCACTATTGGGTTCCAGGGATCAAATTCAGGTTGTCTGCCTTGGCAGCAAGCACCTCCACCCACTGAACTATCTTGCTGGTCCGGGCCCCTCACTTTTAAAGAAAAGTGTATTTATTTGAATTACAAGAGCAGTGTGAGTTTTTTGTTTTGTTTTGTTTTGTTTTATTTTTTTGGTTTGCTTTTCCAAATGAGAGTGACCCAGAAGGTAAGAGGTGAGAGTGTTGTGAGGAAGGCAGCAGAAGATAAAATGCAAGAAAGAGCTGGGCGGCGGTGGTGGCGTACCCCTTTAATGCCAGCACTCAGGAGGCACAGCCAGGCGGATCTCTGTGAGTTCGAGGCCAGCCTGCTCTACAGAGCAAGTTCCAGGACAGGCTCCAAAAGCTACACAGAGAAACCCTGTCTCGAAAAACAAAACAAAACAAAACAAAACAAAAAAAACCATGTAAGAAAGCTAGAGTCACCAAGTGTGGTGACAGATGCCTTCAACCCCGTCACTCTGAAAGCTAAAGCAGGAAGGTCATAAGTTTGAAGCCAGACTGGCTGCATAACCAGCCACACACACACCCTCAACAAAGGAAGGAAGAGAAGGAGGAACAGAGAGGGCGAGACAGTCAGAGGGACAGCGTGTCCTAAGTCTCCAACCAAACTAGTATTTTCACTTACTGCGTCTCAGCTGACATTCAAAGCCAGCCATCCAGGTCAGGGGAAGGGGGGTGGAGGAAACGGACAGCTGGTTCAGCCGAGCCGTGATTCCCGACTGCTGCGACTCGCTGGAGTGGTCTTGAGCAAAAGTGAAGGTAAAACGAGGCAGATGTTTTCAGATGGTTTGCCGTTGTTTCTCAGAGTCACACTACGTACGTAGTCCTGGTCATCCTGAAACTCTGTCTTCTGCATGGTGGGATTAAAGGAGGGTGGCACTGGCTAGTTCAAATAGTTTAAATCTGTTGTTCATAGTTTTATTTGCAGCAATGGAAAACTGAGTCAGGAGAAGGTGGTGTATGTCTCCCAGCACTTAGGAGGCAAAGGCAGGCAGATCTCTGTGAGTTCGAGGCCAGCCTGGGCTACAGAGTGAGTTCCAAGATAGCCAAGGCTACGCAAAGAAGCTCTGTCTGGGGGTGAGGGGGAGGAATTGAGAACTGGAAACAGCTCAAATGTTCAACAACAAAAAGTGGATGGATAGATGATATATTCTATCCATGTGATAGAATACTACAGGACTATTCTGCACTATAGAAGCATCTATACAAGAGAAGAGGCTATTGAAGCAGAATTGTGTTTGTTTGGAAGAGATTTCAAAATAGCTTTTAAGCAGCAGGGTTAAGAGCAAGAAGACAACCTGAAAGTGTGAGCGTGGGTTTCTCAGGGGAGAGTCGCCAGCCACAGGCTATTGATCGGACCACAGCATAACGGAATCTCTAAGTATGCTGGGAGCTGCAGGTGTAGGTCTCCAAACATTGTAACTCTCACATGACCTCATAAGCTGCATGAAATCACAGAATTTGTGAAGGTGGAGAGATGGCTCAGTAGTTAAGAGTACTTGCTGCTCTTGCAGAGGAACTGGGTTCGGTTCCCAGCACCCACACAGTGGCTCACACCACCATCCCTAACTCCAGTTCCAGGAGATCTGACACCTCCTTGTGACCTCCTTGGACATCAAGCGTGTATGCAGTAGACATGCCTATATGCAGGCAAAACACCCATGTACATAAAAAATAACATAAGTCTAAAAAATGAAGGAAAAAAATATCCCCCAGAATTTGTGTCCACATTCTTCCTGCTCATTCTGCAGATGGGGAAACTGTTAGTTGGTGACTGAGTAATGGCTCAAACTAGAGGTTTTTACCATACTCAACTATCTTTTTCTTTCCTCTACCCAGGAGCCTTCACTGTTAGCCCTTCTCCCCCCTCCCACCCCCCCACCTGCTGGCCGTGGAACAAGAATTCCAGAATTGAGTTGATTTAAGATACCGTTAGAATGTATGGAAATTCATCTCCCACTATCATAGTGCTCCGTTGTCCAGGGGCTAAGTCTCAGGCTATGCTCTCGGGGAACCTAATTAAACAGAGCAAAAAACTAATGAACCAATTACAACTTACAGGAAGCTGTGCCTTGAAGAGGAATTTGAAGAAGGGTCAAGTCTTACGACGATAGAGAGATGGAGAGCAATAAACAGAATGTGAGTAACAGAGATTAATGTCCCATTGGCATCAGACTGCTGATCATCTCAGCGCTTGCCATCTCTCTGAACTTTTCTTGTCTTGATAATAATGTAAGGCATATAAGTGATGACAGAGGAGCCCGTTATCGCTTTAGACTATAAGAGAGACCGTTACTACGACAGCCTCAGATTTTGTCCTGAACATTTCAATGGTCATCCTTAGGAAAGTAGTTGTCTCCTTTAGCATGCTTTTCAAGCTAAGACAGTGATTTCCTTTGTATCATTAGCATATATTATTTGTAAAAATATGATTCATTATGTTTTCATATGTAGATGTACTGTTCTTAAGTCCTTCCGTGATATTCACTCCCCCAATTTATCCTTTGCTCCCTCTCTCCCTCCCTTTTATTTCCATACATTTTTTAATATGGGATACTTCACAGATTTACATGTTGTCCTTGCATAGGGAATAAGCTCAGTCAGATTAGTACATAAACTGCAGAAGTGACCATAGTGGTCCTTTCTATCTGCCACATCTTTATTGAATATTGTAGTCGGATTTTTCTTTGGGGCACCAGCTCACAAATAGTGACATGGAAGACTTGTTAATTGTGAAACCTTGAAATTAGCTTAGGCTTGTTTTTAACTAGCTCATAACTTAAATTAACCCATTTCTATTAGTCTAAGTTCTGTCATGTATAGCCCATCCTGCTTCCTGTGTCTCCTTGTGTGCTGTGTGTCTCTGTCTCTCTGTCTCTGTCTCCCCCCCCCCCAGATTCCTCCTCCTCCTCCTTCCACTCTCTCCCTGGAAGTCCTGCCTATAACTCCTGCCTAACTATTGGCTTTTTATTACACCAATCACAGCAATACACCTTCACACAGTGTACAACTATCCATGACAGAATATATTACTTTTCTCAGGAAGATGTGAACTCATATCTATTCATCCAGAAAAGTTACCGATGACAGACCAAAGAATTGACTCCACCTCAGATCTAACTTAATGACCAGGAGGTTTATTGATGTAACTTAACAGGAGTATGGATAAGGAATGACTTATCTGCCCACAGATGACTCAAAGGAGGCAGCTACGTCATCCAAAGCACACTGCATGGGTGAGGATTCATGGAAGATGAGTCACTGGAGTTCCCTGTACAGCTTGCAGGCAACTTACCACCCCCATTCCCCCACCCCATCCCTCACCACCCCCCTATCCCCACCAGCAAGTGCTTAAATGACCTCAGGGAGGCCCTGACTTGTAGGTTTCATGAGCTTCCTTAGCCTCCTATTGGCAAGCTTTCAACCCCCTCTCTCCTCCTGGAAGAAACAGCTGTAGGACACATACCCAGGTGAATTTACCCTACAACCAGTGTTCCCCGATGAGCAGACAATGCCCCTTTACAGGATTTGAGGGGCGAAAACAGTATACATCTATTCACAGAGACTGAGAAGCCATGGGCTGGAGGAAGAATCAGTGCCCGGAATTTGTGGCACAAACAGTACATCAATTTCCCTGGCAAGAGAAACTGGCTTTGTTCGTGCCAGTGAGGTTCAGAAGAGCTGGCAGGACACGCGGTGATGACTAAGTCATGGTTCCCCGGCAAGCTGGGGGTGGTGCCAGAGGGAGAGTGCTTTGTGAACTGGTCAGGCAGTGCCTGGTAGATGAGTGGGTGACCATTAGCCTCTTCTACCAGAGCAGATGGGGGCAGGGGCGGGTGGGGGCATGAGGTGCCAGGATGTTGGCTTTCAGTATGAGATCCCTTTTTTTTTTTGAGATCCCCTTTTTAATGTGTTTGTTTTCATCACTAACCAAAAGTTAGTGATGCTAACTGTGCTCTGCCCACCCCAATTCCCCATCAAGCTCGCCCTGTAGCAGATCGTGGCTGTGGCTCACCCTCGCCGTGTGTATTGAATAATTAAGCTTTCCTATTTAAGACAAGGGGTTACTCTGTTTTCCATTTCAAAGATTGTAGGCTACAATGGGTACAAAGTAAGTCCAATGCTAGCCTACACTACCCAGTCTCAAAAAGAAAAAGAAACTATGTAAGCTACCCTGCTTCTCCTATTTTGGCTTCCTGATTGTGCCAGCCTTATCATAAAGGTAACATACATCATTGGTATATTTGTTTGTTCGTTTAAATCAGGATCTTATTTTGTAACCTGAGTTACAAACCTCAAACTCACTATCCTCTTGCCTCGCTCCACAATATTGAGATTACTACTGTGCGCCACCATGCCCTCTTCTTGTTGTTCTATTTTCAAAGAAATATGTATCAGTTGATCTTATAGTAATACAAAAGTTAAGGGAAAGTGTCCTCTGAAATTTGGTGGGAATAAAGACTAAGTAAAGGTTAAAGTGTTTGTGGTGTTACTAGCAATTGAAAACAGTGGTTTTACTGTATTTATTCACAACTCTTTGTGGACAGGGGTGCACATGTGTCCCTGTGAACATGTGGAGGTCAGAGGGTAATTTTCGGAGGTCATCAGGTTAGTAGCAGGCACTTTTACCAGATGCTCCATCGCACTTGCCCTGGTTTTACTGTTGACAAGGCCGTTTTGACCACGCTGAAAGTGTGTCCAATATCACACCAGCATCAAGGGCAAGAACTCAGAATTCAAGGTGAACCAAGAGTAATGGGTTAAATCCATAGTGAGGAAAAGAAGCTGTAGTCCACCGTTGGATTTTTAGTCAGAAAGAAATACCAATTTAGAAAAATTAAAAATAAAAAAGTTGGGGGCTGGAGATATGGCTCAGTGGTTAAGAACACTGGCAGTTCTTCCAGAGGACCTGGGTTCAATTTCCAGCACCCACGTGGCAGCTTACAACTGTCTGTAGCTCTAGTTCTAGGGGATCTGACAGCCTCATACATGCAGGCAAAATGCTAATGCACATATAATAAAAATAAATTATTTTAAAAATAGACAAATAAATAATTTTTTTAAAAAGTTTGAATATCCTTGCTTCTCAGTCCTCTATAATTTCTTATAGTGATGTGTTGGTGAATAACATGGAAATAGTCATTCAGAAGCATCATTTACATAAATCATGACAGAAATCAGGCCTGCTGTTTGTTCCTTTTAAATTGTTTATTATATTGTGTTTATTCAAGGGTCTGTGGAGGAGCATGTCCATGGCACACTAGCGGAGGTCTGAGGACACCTTGTGGAAATCTGTCCTCTCCTCTCGCCGCTGGGTCCCTGGGATGGAGCTTGGGTTATCATACTCCGTGGCAAGCAAGTGCTTGACCCTCACGAGCCGCCTCGTGGACCCTGTTCTTCCTTTATTGATTTGTTTTGTTTTGAGATAGCTCTCGTGCCTCTCAGGCTGGCCTCAAGCTCTGTACATAGCTGAGGATGACTTTGAACTTCTGGTATTTCTGCCTCGACCACTCTCCCCAGTGCTGGGATTCCAGGTGAGGACACCCTGTCCCTTTCTGTGGTGATGGGATTGAACCCCAGACAGCGTCCTCGTCCTCACGGGACAAGCACTCTACATCTGAGCCACATCCCCAGCCCCGTTCTGTTCTTTCATTCAGGCTGCTTTCCTCTATTAAAACCATGGAGGGTTGTTATTTTTTCTTGTTTCCTGGACTCATTTCTTTCAAGGACTCATTCATTCATTTATCTAGTTGTTTTCACACAGCTTTTTTGTTTTATGTTTTTGTTTTCTTTTTCTTCTTTCCTCTTCCTTTTTTTTCTTTTTTGTTTTTCTTTTCTTTCTCCTTTTTTTCTTTTCATTCGTTTATGTGACAGGTGCTACTGATGCCTGGAACTGTCTTCACAGAATTTAAATTCTAGTTCAGGATATGAGAAAGTCTAAGATGGAAAATAAGTCAAGAGAACAATATAGGAACTGGAGAGAAGGAAGGAGGGAAGGGAATTTGCTCATTCTGATACTATGGTCTGATTGGGGAAAGCCTTTTCAGGAAGAATTTGAACCGAAACAATGTCCGGGAGTCAGCTATGAGGCAATCTGGTGGTATGCATACAAAAGGAACAGTGTGTAAAGATCCTGGGGTACAAATGCTTCTCAGACTATAGCCTGAGTCAACACAGTCTAATGTATAGATCCTGGGAGTGTATGTATTATGCTCTGTGGGCCACGTAGTCTTGGTTACCACTGTTCAGCAGCTCTGAATGCTAAGGCCTCAAAAGCATTCAGACGTATTGTGTAAGTAATGATCATGGCTACCGTACACTGAAGCCTTATCTATCAGAACAGGTGAAACTGGACAGCAAACGCAGAAGTCAACCGGGCCAGCCAGGGCTATGTAGTGAGACTTTGTCTCAAAAAAAGTAAAATACAGGTTGTGCCCCAAGATGGCTCAGTGGGTAAGGACACGTGCCACCGATGCTCAGAACCCACATGGTAGGAAAGAACCAATTCCAGAAAGTTGTCCTCTGACCTCCACGTGTGTGCTGAGGCTCTCAAACACAGAACACACACACACACACACACACACACACACACACACACACACACACACACACACACACAAATGTTTAAAAAAAGAAAGGTGGTTGCACCACTTGAATATACTAAAAACTGCTGTACTGTGCACTTTGTGTGATGTGTGAGCTGTATCTCAAAGGATCTGTGACGGTGTATGTGCACATGTCTATGATATAAATACATAATCACGTACATGCAGGTACCCTCAGAAAGGGTCGTTGGATGCCCTGGAGCTGGAGTTACATTTGAGGCCTGTGTCACAATTAGAAGCTTTAGGAGGGCTAGGGATGTGGCTTAGTGGTGGAATTGCTTGCCTGGCACATGCAAGGCCCTAGCGCAGTGATCCTCAACCTTCCTCACGCTGCAACCCTGTAATACAGTTCCTGGTGTGGGGGGACCTCACTGCTACTTTATAACTGTAATTTTGCTAGATGAAACATTTTGTTTGTTGTGAATTGTGAATATCTGACATGCGGGGTATCTGATATACAACCCTCGGGGTCAAGCGACCCCCACACAGGTTGAGAAGCACTGCCCTAGACTAAACAAACACCGGCAAAGAGGTGAGTGTGGTGCACCAAGAGGAGCTGTGGGAAATGGATCACCTAGACCTGCAGCCCACCGAGATGTTATCTACGTTTCTGATCCAAATATGATAGACAGTCCATGGAGGAGTGTTGGCGAGGGCAGAAATGAGGTGGGATTTGTGTCTCTAAGAGATCACTCTGGCTGTTGTTTGCAGAACAGACTATGTGAAGGCAAACAAGGAAAGAGATGAGTTATCCACAGGGTAGAGAGAAGATGACTTGAGCCGGCATGGCTGGACTAGGGGAAGTAGTAAGATTCCGTAGGAAGGATGTGCTCATGGACTGGGACAAGGGGGTAAAGGTTATCCAGATGTGGGACTGACTCCTCTGTTGGGGTTGCCATTCCCAGTGGGGAACCTGGAGAAAGGACCAGAAAGAATAGAATAAGGCAGGATCCCAGAGCGCTCCGGTCTGACTCCTGATAGAACTCTAGGTGAAGAAATAGATCTGCAGCCCAGAGGTGAGGCCCAAATGAGAGATCCCCCAGCACCACGTAACAGAGGGTGGTGCACACACCAGCTATCCAGCACTGGGAAGGTGGAAGCAGAGAGATCAAGGTCATCCTCAGCTACATAGCAAGTTTGAGGCCAGCCTGGGCTACTTCAGACCCTATCTTAAAACCAAACAAATACAACTAAGCAGCGAGACTTATTGGTGGCTGAAAAAGAACAGAGAGGTGGCCGTTACTGGATTTAAGGTGGAGCTTGTTGGTGATCTTGGCAGAGGTGTAACAACAGAGGATGACTGAAGGAACGGAGCCATTTGCTTCAAAGCCTCAATGGCGGAGCACTTGTCCAGCATTTGTGGAGCTCAGGATCCATGCTTGGCACTGCAAAATAATTAGACAAATAAAGAAGAACAGAGACAGGGTCTGTCTGGAGGGAGGGGAGCAAGAGAAGAATTCCTGCTTTGATCCTCATGAAGGAACTGTGCACAGTAGGGATTCTTTAATGGTCTTAGCACTCAGCACCCCACTTGATCTTACAGGCTGTAAGACCCCCAGCTTTTCACTGCCACACAATATTTCTGAATTCTACGGCCCTCAGACAAGTCAGTCTTAAAAGGTCTTAGAATACGGATTCATAAGCCCAATGATTGTAGCTAGTTTTCCTGCCTTGCCCACAGTCAGGACAAATCTCTCTCTCAAAAAAAAAAATTAATCCATTTCCATAAATCTATACCCTGCCACGCTGCTCGTGGCTTACCAGTATCTTTTCATGCTGCTTGTCAGGGTGGCGGCTAGCAGTGACTCCTGCCTTCCTGTTCTTTCTTTTCTCCTCTCTGTTAGTCCCGCCTAGTAGTCCCTACTTCCTGCCTAGCCACAGGCCAATCAGTGTTTTATTTACTAGCCAATCAGAGCAACACATTTGCCATACAGACCATCCCACAGCACAGCCAAGTGCAGACCATCTCAGACACCTGCACTCAGGCTCGTGGTCCTAATCATCCTCTATGCAGACCTGTTGGGTAAAGCCACGAGGAACCTGAGAATGGACTCCCACAGGACATACAGAACATCCCACAGCAAACTGTTCTTACATCTTAAATTAACCCATTTCTATAAATCTATACCTTGTCACGTGGCTCATGGCTTACGGGCCTCTTCACATGCTGCTTGTCATGGTGGCGGCTGGTAGTTCTCTGACTCAGCCTTCCACTTCCCAAAATTCTTCTCCTCCTTGTCCTGCCTATACTTCCTCCTGCCTGAC